CCACAGGAAAAAATCTAGATTGTCCCCCCCCCCCACCCAAATCAGCGGCAAAAATAACACACTGGGGACATAAAAGCCACCCCGGCTTCAAATTTGCCATTGACGAGCGTTTGACCGATTTCAACGCGCGTTTCCTGTCCACTCAACTTCATTTGGTGTCAAAGTGGCTTCCGGGGATCATCTTCCCCACGTTTTTAGGACTTCTCCCTCCTTCTGGATCAAGCCCTGCCCACATTTGACTGCGTCGGCAACAAAGCTTGTGACTCTTGCGTTGACGCGCGTGACAATTTGCAGCATCATTTAAAGGTTGAGCGCATCTGGGAAACGACGTCAAGCGGCCCCCGGGAAGACAATCGATTCACAGCGCTGAGAGCTCACGTCGAAAATATTTTCAAAGGTCCTTAAGCTCAGCTAAGGGGGCAGACAAAAACCGGTTTTGCGAGTCGTGCAGAACTGTTGATGCCACGCCTGCCAACAGCACACACGAGGCTTTGATGTTGGCCCGGATTAGTCTTGCGGACAGTTTCAATCCAACCCCGACACAAAACCGCAATATGTACACACGCAAGTCCTGTGATCTACCGTAAGCATATTTTTCTTGGTAGCCAACCAGCAAAACAAACTTTTTGCTGGACTGACGTGTATTTTTCTATTTACACGAAGTATGTGGTGATGACTAACTTTTGCTCCATGCGAGTTAACTGATGGCAAGCCAAACTCAGTTCATTAGCTTTCATTATTTTGATGGCAAAAACATTCAAAACTAAAATTTGACTATGTAAAGCACTCAGACAGTATGTGGAGTGACCTTGTATTTGTCTTTGCAAAATACATTTGCAATTAACCATTTAATGGTGCTCATAATTAAATCCAAACCTTTGCAGTGTGGAGGTGCAAAATCAAATGAAGGGAAAAAAAACCCAAGAACATTTGGATTTGATTTTATTTTGCCATTTTGAAATGGATCTTTTTTTTTAAATACCTTTGAACCGCTTTCTGTATTATATTTTATATCTAAATCTGCATCTTGAAATGTGGCTACGTCTTCGGGCGGCCATTTTGCAAGAGCGCAAGCTCACCTTGGGCATGGCGAGCTCCCACGTGGGCGCGGAGCAGATCGTCGTCGTCGTCGGCCAGCCAGGGCAGACAGGTCACGTCGACACCCGCCTTGGCTTCCAGGAAGGAGGGGGACGGGGGCGACAGCAAGGTGTGGTAGGGGGAAAGGGACAGGGAAAGGGGGGGTGAACCCGGGACCTCCCCCCCGAGCGAGGAGGAGGAGGAGGATGGTGGTGAAAGCGCTTCCTCTTCATCTTGGTCCAGAAGGGGCCCCATTGGGTCAGCCATCAGAAATGAGGGCCCTGTGCAACAGTTTCATCGGTTAGTAGCGCATTTGCAAAACACCAATTGCAAGCGGTCCGTGCGCAGCCGCTGAACCACTTGGCCTCGCACATGACAGCGATTGTGTCTGCATTGACGCATGACATGCCGCGGATGGACTCCCGGCGACATCAACTATGCCTGGATCGTCTTTTCAGGGGCCCTACACAATATGTTGCACCATGTAACTTTTTATTCTCTTTTTTTTTTAAAATGGTGGCAGTCCACAAAGACGTGCGCCGGGACCAAAACAGGACGCAGCAAGCGCCGTTACTTTATTTACTGGTAATTTTCAATTCTAAATATGGCCAGGTCATGTTCTCAAAAACAATCTGTGTGTAGCGGCCACACATACTTGACAGCAAACATGGATCCAGATTTCTTGTGTGCCGTCTCAGCGGCAGCAGCAGCTACTGCCTTCGTATTAATGCCATGGAGGGGGGGAGATAAAGAACACGTTCACTTGAAACTAATTTTCATGAATACTTTTAAAATAAAGAGATCAACATCAGTTTAAGTACTGTTAATGACCAAGTGTTGCCCTGTACATATATGAGGCCTTTTCCGATGGTGGCCAATCAAAAGGTCAGAGTGGAAAAGAGCGACGACGTACACATGCAGCGCCCGCCACCCACCTGAGCACAGGGCCTCCACGGCCTCCAACGCGAGCATCGTGGATGTGGCGTGCGGTCAGCGATAAAGCGGGTACGACCGAGTGCGGGGACGTTCGCAAGTCGAGACGTTCGGGACTGCTGTCGACTGCAGCAAAGCTGAGGGGAATTGCCAAGAGAGACCTGCGGACGACAAAAAAGAGAAGCGGCAAACGTGACAATCACGTCTCCCGTCTGAGACGCCAAAGACATACTTGATACACAAGGACCAAATTACGTGTGTGTGTGTGTGTGTTACTGTTCACCAGGACAAATTTAGGAAACCAGAGTAAAAATATGTAACCATTTGTGCCCTCAAACACACAAACTTTTGGAAAAATGCCGTGACAAATATGTACACCAAAACAAGTTTGTGGCAAATTTGTATTGAATAACTTGATCACCTTTGTCCCAAAATACATTTGATATAATGAACAGTAACTGGATGGAGCTTTGACGATGAACAGAGTCTTGTACATGTCAAAGGATTGGAGACCGAATTGGACGCTCCCCAGATTGAAATGCTGACACGACAGAACAAATGGTTTGGAACATCTTATGCATGTACAAGACTGATCACCACTCCACATTCAAAACAAAGCTTTGGGGTGCTAATGAAAACTCACTCCAAAATAAAGATAGCAAGGATTATTATCCTGAAAATAAATTTTAACATCCCTTTTAACATGCAAATCCCATCTGAGTAAAGAGGTCTTTTTTTGTTGATTGTACACTTATTACACCTTCTCACTGGATCATTCCTGGTCAACGTTAAACCTCCCATTGTGCAAACATTTCGACAAATATTACTGGAGTGTAATTAGGCTAAACAGGACCTGTTACTTACCATAACCCAAAACTGAACAAGTTATTTTCTGTTGCTTAATTTTATGTCTGTAATGTTATGTTTGGCATTTAACTATGTTGGTTGTTATATTATGAATGTTTGTTTGAATATTGCTGCTGTGACATTGTAATTTCCCCTCGCAATGATAAGCGCATATAGTTATCTTGTAAAAAATATTTTTCAAGTATTTCAAAAATACATTTTAAATGTCGACTTCTCGGTCACTTTCACCTCACACAGTCGTTAAATCGTTTTACTGACACTTGAGAGAGGGGAGACTAATTATAGCCAATCCTTCGGCAGTGTGGCGTCATGTGACCTGAAGGAAAGAACCGCCCACTCCCAAAGTACATTTCCTAATTTGGTCATGTCTCGGCCCGGTGACCACGCCCGCCAGGAAAAGCGGGCCCGCCATTTTCCTGTCAAGTAGTCCGCCAAGGGGGCTCGACGACTGAATCGGCGCGCCATTTTGAGGACGCCACGTTGTCAACTATTTCATGTACACAAACAAAAACCGGCAACGAAAAGCACGCAGACTTCGAAGAAAGACATTCATATTCGTTTGTCCAACATATCTGACAGCGACTTTTAAAGCGTTTAGCTGCACTAGCAAGCCGAACGCAGCAATTTTTAGGGCACAAAAAGTTGCTCGTCCAGTGCGCCACTCCATTAAACTCGATGTTATCACATTAAAGCAAGCCAACTCACAAAGCATGACGTGTAACATAATTTTTGGAACATTTAGTGGTCTTATACAAGGTGAACTTGGAGTATGTTTTGAAATTCCAACTTTCCAAACGCCACCACAAGACGGTAAATAATGTGTACTTACGCCATTTTGCCCGAAATCGCCAGTGCACTTCGCCGATGCCCTGCCCGTTTGATGCCGCTGCGCAGATTGCCGCCACCCGCCGTTAAACTGCCATGTTGATGGTTGATATATGCCGACACCGAACGCAACAATGCCCACACTGAAGACGACACCGAGAAACGAATGTTCCAAGTGTGCGCAGGCGCAGCAGCTTATATTACACCGAAGCACTACCAAGCGTGTCCCTCCGCCAAAACAATGTTAATTTTTTTACTACTTCGTTGCGGGTGAGCGCGGCAATTTGTTGAAACTCGCCTTTACTTCTTCGGCGGGCGGTGTATGTATTAAAAACACGCGTACCACTGCTTTTCATGTCTTTGATTTCTTGAATGCGTGTGTGCATTTTAATAGGGTGACGCTTGTATAAGTGTATACACAGTAAGTGGGCGGGCCATATAGGAAACGTCAACATTAGTTGAAGATGCTGCGATGCAGCGAGATGTTCCTAAATAGTTCCGTGTGCTCTTATCGTAATGTAACGATAAGTATACAATGTGTGTCTCCACTGCATGGCAATTTTTATTTTACAACTTTGCAGTACAGTACTCAAAATTCTAGATCTACTTCAAAGAGTCGGTGTGTCTTTAGTACTGCGGTCAAGCCAGCACGCACTCGCAAAATCGAAGTCAAGTGAGCCGGCACTGCGATTGTCAATACTGTGCATTACGGTAATCTGTCGCCAGCGAGCGGCGTTGGCATCCTTCAAAATAAAAGATCCACCACGCATGCATAAACGTCATTTATTTCGGTTAAAAGAAATTAATAAAAGTATAAAATAAGTAATTTCTTGGCTGTTGGGTAAAGATTCACCAAGGAATAACAAGAACTCTCAGAACAGCACCAATAAGCGTTCTCAAGTGGAGATAGAAAATAAAGTCAATGGTAATTCTACATCAATTTCACCTGACATTAAAAAAAAATAAATAAATAAAGAAACTAATCTGGGTGATAGCGCAACCACACCAGGTTGTCGACACACTAAGGCATGCCAGGTATACACCCACAGTACTGGTAAGCGTTCTCAAGTGGAGATAGAAAATAAAGTCAATGGTAATTCTACATCAATTTCCCCTGACATTAAAAAAAAAAAAAAAATTAAAAAACTAATCTGGGTGATAGCGCAACCACACCAGGTTGTCGACACACTAAGGCATGCCAGGTATACACCCACAGTACTGGCATTCAGATCGAATGTTCCATTAAGAATTAAAATGCCTCTCAAATATGACATTTTGAGCTCCTCTGCTTATTTCAAAAGATTCTTGAAAATATCCCTCAATCAAACCAGACCTGCAGGACACGAGAGCACTGCAGGTATCCAACAAGACCATTCGGATCTGATGTTGGCCTCGGAAAAGCGACAAGATGGCCTGCGTTCTGACATGACTTGCATTCTAACATGTTGATCTTTTTGCCCATTTATAGAACATCCGAAAAGAAGGAATCCAGCACCCCGGCTCTCCACCCAGACCACCCTCGTCCGGATCAGATGTTGCATTTTGAAATAAAAGGCCTCTGAAAACTGGCATGTTGACCTGATTTCTGACAAGTTGATCTGAACACATTTTCAACGCACGTTCCCTAAAAATTTAGCTTCCGTTATCCCGTGAGGGCTGCATGTCTGGGGATAACTACAGCATTCCAGCTTTCCAACGCGACCACTCCCATCTCAATCTGATGATGCATTTGGGAATAACAGCCCTCTGAAATGTGGCAAGATTTCCAACAAGGTGGCCTGAACGCCCAACATGTTGACATTTTCAACCATTTTGAAAAAATTCCTAAAAATATCGCCTCCGATATCCTGTGAGGGATGCATGTCTGGGGACAACTACAGCACTCCAGCTTTCCAACGC